ATCAAGTTTGTACAGCAGAACCCTAGATATATTGCTAATTTTTTATACCTTCCTGAATCTTATGAAAATATAAACCAAGGCTGAGGCATGTAGGAAAGATATACCTTTTTTTGTGTCTAGAGATGTTTTTATCCAATGTAACAAATGACAAAAGCTTAGAAAGTACCCAATAAAGGTGTTTGTCCAAATAGATAACTATGCTGAAGTACCTTAACCAACTGTTGAGGAAAAAACAGAATTCAAATCTACTAATCACTAACTTTTGAATTTAAATTTTTCATCTACAATAACCATAAAATATCATGAAAAATAGCAATCCAATCAGAAGACTCAGACATTAAAAAAAGACCATGATTGGTTCCAAAATTTACATACATATTTTAATTTTGATATTCTATAAGAGTATGGAATGCAAAGACAAAAAGATTTTTGAAATGTCATTCAATAACTCATTGCTCTTATATTAAAGTGATTCTCCAATCACCTATGTTTTTAAAAGCTCTTTTCTTTTAAAAGGATCTAGAAATTTCCTAGGCCACATTTGAACACTCTAGGTTTGAAGTTTATACAGAATTGCATTTAGAACAGAATGAAAGGTCTGCCAAAGTAGCAACTTGAAGGTGAAACTCTCAGCCTTTGCTATAAGGATACACACATCACATGCACATTTACTATAATTTATATAATTTATAGATATGCATACCTTCTCTCTCATACATCTCTCAACTTGGCATATGTATTCATATACTTATACACATGCATACATCCATGCAGAGCAACAAAGGCAAGAATGATCAGATTAGATGTCCCTCTCATACTCAACGAATTAGAGTAGTTTCATAGAGAAATTATAACTATTCCTTATTCAGCTGGCTGAGGTTACAAAAGGTAAATAATGATTTATCAGAAATCTTTTTCCTTTTTTTAATTTTACTGGCTGGCACATTATCAGACATCTTGACGTGTGTGTCACGTCTTCCAACTGGAAGTAGAGGTAAGGGACTGTGTCGTCTTATATTCTCAGTTCCTTGAACTGTGGAGAATTAGACATGCTGGTGGAACATGCATTGCCCCCAAATATGAGATTTACCACACAATATATGGGTTCATATCCTAACCCCACCAGTTACCAGGTGAGAGATCAAGTATTTAAATGTCCTGGGCTTCAGTTTCTACATCAGTAAACTATGTTAGGATACCGACCACACCTGGTGGCTGCAAACCTCCTTGTATAGAGATATCCCTCTAGATGGTTAAAGAGTACTTGCTCATTAATTGATAAACTTGTCTCAGAAATGGTCTGGACTTACTGCCAACCATTACTTTCACTGATTTGCCTGTTTTACAGCTATATAGACAGGTGTTTGAGAATATAAGAAATTAAAACAGAAATAGCAAAGCTTTTTAGTCCATTTTGCTAATTAATATGTCAGAGCTCATAAAGAAGAACTCATCGGCTTTCTTCACTACTGCATCATCTTAAAGAGCTGGGTCAGCAAGGATGTCTGCAGACAGTCAATACATATTAAAACAGCTCCAAGCAGTAAATCAAAACAAAAAAAAAAAAAAAAAAAAAAGAAGAGGAAGACAGTAAAAAAAGTAAAATTTATAAGCCCTTTCTGTCTGAATGCAGAGGAGCATTAAACTATTATTTTAGGTGTCAGCTCAGTATATAGAAAAAAAATAAGGATTCTTTCTCAGACATACTTTATGATTCTGAGTATAACCAAAATTAAAGCACAATTTAAAAAAAACTATGCCAAATTTGATGTTATTTTCTCTGGATTCTAATGTTCCTTTAGAATATTTAAGTCATTAAAAATTAGTTTTATTAGGGGCTGGCCCATGGCTCACTTGGGAGAGCGTGGTGCTGACAACACCAAGTCAAGGGTTAAGATCCCCTTACTGGTCATCTTTAAAAAAAAGAAAAATTAGTTTCATTATTTAAAATATGCATTTGGGGGCCGGCCCGGTGGCGCACTGCTACAGTGCGCCGCTTGGGAGCGCAGCGGCGCTCCCGCCAAGGGTTCGGATCCCACATACAGACCGGCCGCTCACTGGCTGAGCGAGGTNACTGGCTGAGCGAGGTACGGGCGCAACACCGAGGGTTGCGATCCCGTTGCCGGTCCCAGTCCGGTACGGGCGCGACACTGAGGGTTGAGATCCGTTGCTGGTCATGAAAAAAGACAAAAAGGGAGGAAAAAAAAAAATTTAAAAATAAAAAAAATAAAATAAAAAATAAAATATGCATTTGTTTGGGGTGTTTTTTGTCCCCTGCCTTGTTAGGCTTTGAATTTTTTCAGAATAAAATTAGTGAAGCAGGGTAAGACATTTTGGGGGTTTTCAGGACATTTTGGGGGTTCTCTGAAACTAGTGATTTTTTTCTAAAAGGAACCAAACAAAAGGAATTTTATTTCTAACTTCTCTGGGTGGGTCGCCCCATTCCTTAGACATAACACCTCATACGTGGAGGAGGAACCCACAAGATGAGAAGCAGGAGAGTCACCCTGCTCTCTTCCTTGCCAAGGTAATGAGATGCAGTGTGCTGGCTGGGGAAGCCCCCGAAATAGGTCATTAGAGGAATCTCAAGAATACTGGGTTGATTCCGGAAGGCGTGAGGGGAACACTACATTCTGGGCCAAAAGTGTTAGAAAGATTTATCTTACCTGGGCCTTTGCTTTGATCCAAGCTCTGAGGACTCAACCATTTAAAGATTAAGGAAAAGAAAGAGTGACAAAAATATTGTCACAAAATTGGGAGGCACCCAAGCCAGACCAACAGATGCAACTTGGCACAAAATGGCTCTCTCCACAGTAAGTAGCTGACTCAGAAGAAATTTCAACTCAGATGAATTTATTAAAATGTTGAATATGATCCCAAATAAGAGGATGGATGATAGATTTAGGTCAGCACATATAATTTAACTTCCTGATGGTTTTAGATATTATGAAAGCTACCTACATTTCTATAATTACAGAAAAAGAGAAAGATATTCTCATTTTAGCAAAGAAAGATTTCATGTTTTCACCTAAATATTCTGAAGAAAGAATTAGGGGAAGGAGATAAGATATTGCACAAAAAGAAGTTGACTGATTCCTTTTAACAATGGCAAGACAACTATGATCACAGACCTTTACAAGTTAAAATACAACCTGGTAACTTGTTTCGTGGGCACAGACTGCTTGTAGCAGATTGAAACTATAGTTCTATATTAGGTAAATTTTTAAAATGATCTTGTAACTGAAAGAGGTCAGAATTAAAAGGCTCCTTAATCCTCTGCCACCACTGCTACCACCGCTACCAACACAACCAGCAGCAGCAGCAGCAGCAGCAGGAGCAACAAAGTCTAATGAGAAATTCCTCTACCTAAATGTAGCACAAATAAGGGAGTTGCATTTTACGTGAAGGATGAGGTTCTGAGGATCATTATGATTCAAGACTAATTTTCCAAAAGAAATACACGTACAAAATTGAGGGAGGGTGTATTCTTGTGGTGTATAATAACTTTAGTCACATATTTTTCTTTAACGCCACTCTGTATTTGCTTAGAACTGTCTCTAATGTTTTACAGGATGATCATGTAATGCAACCAGAGAGTGTATAATTTTAGGTGATTGTTTAGCCCTCTTCATTGCATGCTACTTTTGTTCCAAAGTTATAAACTTTCTGGTTGTTTTTCAGCATTTGCACTGGTTCCACAGATGCCTATGAAAAATGTGATGATGTAGTGATAGGATGTAAAAATACTTAAAAAGATAAGAATACTGAATGTTGTAATAGCAGCACATAAGTAGTAGCATGCATTTAAGATAGAACCCACACAGGCTATCCTTGGGGTGTCTTGGTCATGAGAACTTCCTTCTCAGGCTCCTAAAAATATTTCCAGTAGTAGAGAATTTAATGGAAGGGGACGGTGGGAACAAACAGAGCAGCATGCGGCGATTTATCACTCCCACAGAAATCTTTTCTTTCACAGTGATCTAACCTCTTAGGCTCTTTATTAGGAGGAATAGGGGGGAAAAAGTTGTGAACTAGCCCTTCCCTGCTGTTATCACTAGAGAATCTGGAGAAAGAAGAAATGAAAAAAAAAAAAAATCATACTCTTTCCCTGGAACATGATGGAGGTAATGAGGTATCAAGGCCACTTACTGCTGAAGACATACTTGGCACATAAACACAGGAGACACTCAGTGATGAGAAAGACTTTTTTTCTGAAATGGGGGGGATACCAGCAAATCATAACCCTTCCGTTGTATGGAGTGGCAATCCTAAAATGGATATTTCTTTCCCCCAAATAATGCACCACTACAGGAAAGGGATTATTACAGCATTTACTAGCTTAGTAGCTTTAAGAGTTTTCACTGATGTAAATAAATAGTGAGGAAGGAAGGGTAAGGAATAGAAGGCAGGATACTTGGCAATGAAGGAAAAGCTGTATTTTTGAAGTGGAGGTATCTCACGCATGATAAGGAAACCCTTAGAGACCCTTGTGAACTCCGTACAGAGCATCCATGGAGCTCATTCATGAATCTAAAGAAAGATGGATAATACGGTCACCACTGGCACAATCACCTTTGATGACAGGCAAAAAAGGAGAAAGAAACAACCACATCTTTCTTACTCTGGAATTTGTTGTCTTGTTGCTTTAATGTGAAAGTCATCATAGGAAAGAATTTCAAACTTTCTTGAGTTTTCTTTAGAATTAATTTATTTTTTTTGTTTAAGTGTTCAGCTGGCATACAGGTTTAAGATATTTGGTTTTATAATTATTTTTTTGGAAACCTTTATTCTTTCCTCTCAAATATCTGAGTCAGCATACATTATGCCACTATACACACAGCCGAGCAATAATTCATCTTTGTGGAAGTCAGAGACATCTCATATATTAATTAGAAAGCCTTTCAGTGACCAGTGGATGAAAACAGTTTCCAACTGCTACTAAAACACAGACAGTGATTTCCAGGAAGGGAATATAAAGTCAGTTACAAGGAATTTCTTACCCGATTTGTGTCCAGCCAATGAATGAACTTTGCTTTCATCTGGCACTGAGGAGGAGAAATGAAAGAGACAAGGGTCAGACCTGCTTGTAAATCAGACATTTTTTGACCGATAAATTAAAATAGATTCATAATAAGTTAAATCTTTTACTGGCAAAGATTTTAGAATTTTTTTCTCTCAGTTTACCTTGGGTATCTCATTTTTATGGGCCGTTATTTTAAAGAAAGCTATGAAGAAATATACATTTATCAGGTATTCTGTGAATATAACTTCATTTTCTTTTAACATTCAGTATTTTCAGTTCTTCTGGGTTGTTACTTCCATTTCTATGAGAGGAAAAGCTAAATTCATGGGCCTAGAGATGCATAATATATAATAAAACTCTGAGCATGACAACAATATATATATTCAATACTTAAGAACTGTGCTTCTGTATCTTGTCAAAATGGGGTAGGAGGGAACAGATTTATAACTCCTGAAACAATTTAAAAAACTAGACAATACATGAAGCAATGGCAATCAACAGGTAACAAAGGACAGTGACTCCCATGAGATGAGGAACAAATGAGGTGAGCCGTACTACTGCCCAGCGTACTGTCTGGAGAGTTTCCAGCAGCAGACGTCCAGGGAAGCCAAGGCAGATGGAGTTTGCAGGGCAGAGAACCAGGGAGAAGACAGCTATTTTCTGATAGTTTCAGAGAATCCCCTCATGGTGTCTAGTTGAATACTGATGATCACATGTGCATGAAGAAATTACCCAAGTCCTGGCAAAGAAGCACTCCAAAGAGGAAAGGAAACAGCATCTGAAGTTCCCCCAGAACTGGGAATAGTGCCTATTCTCAACAGCCAGAGTGGAAAACTTTATAATTCAAGGGCCTCAGTTAGAACATAAAGAAGGATCTTGCCCCCAGTAGTGAGGAAAAGTTAATACAGCTCTGATAAAATGGATAAAATTTTGGAAGGTACAAATTACCAAAGCTTATGTAGGAAGAATTAGATAACACGAATAACCCTATGGTTATTATTATTATTATTATTATTGAAAAAATGAGGTTGTAAGTAAAACTTTCCCACAAAGAAACCAGGCCCAGATGGCTGCACTGGTGAAATTCCATGAAATAATGCCAATTCTACAGAAACTCTACCAGAAAATTTAGAGGAGGGCAATTTCTCAACCCATTTTATGAGGCTACTGTTAACCCTGATACTAATATGAGGAAAAGACATTATATGAAAAACTGCTAACCAATATTCTTCGTGAACATAGGTGCAAAGTTCTTAATCCTTAAGCATCTCTGCGTAGATTACCACATCAATAATCAACGGCTGTTCATTATTCACCATGTGCCACTGTCTATGTCAGTCTATAATAAACTCTTGTGCTCACTGGTTGAAGCAAGGTGAGGGGAAATTTGCTACCAAGGAGAACCTCCTCCACTTTCCCTAATGCTGGATTAGTCTCAGTGTAGCATGTGCCTCCTTCCCCTGCCCACAACATTCAGTCAATATTGAATTGACCCAGTTAGTATACATAGCTTCCTACTCGCACCTGGCCCTCCTTTACTAAGCTGTTTATTTCTTTATTTTCTAGATAAAAGCACTACATGTCTGTGATTATCCTGTTCTTAACTGCTTAAAAATCTTGTTGGACTTTTTGCTGTATTTCCAGCTGGGAGGTAAGTCAGACAGTATTAATGAGGTATGAAATGTGGACCAAATTTTGTCTTTACCAGGCCTAAAAAAACTTAGAGTGGAATCTGCAGTATAAGTAGAAAAATATAGGAAAGCACTGATGATGATTAAAAATACCAATAGCAGCCAGAATTTATTAAGCACTTGTAATATGCAGGTTCTGACCTAAGGACACTAGGTCTCTGCTAATTCATTTAAATCCTCACAGTGGCCTGGGAAGACAGGCATCCTTACATTTCCAATAAAAAAACTGATGCACACCTTGTAAACGGAGAAGCCAGAACTTAAACATGGCACTCTTAACCACTCCATTATACCTGTGATAAGAGTCATAGAAGAGTTGCTATCTGAGAAATTTGAGGAATGATCCCTAGCATGAATCAAATACAAGAAAACCTACACTTACATGCTAGAAAACTATTATCTTTTTTATTTGAATATATGCTATAAGTAGAAATCTTTCTCTAGTGACCAATTATAATGAGTTAGCTATAATTTTTGTTTAACATATCAGAAATCTACAATTCTAATGGGTTCAAGCTAAAATACTCCTCCCTATTTCACAGATGAGAAATCCTCTTTCTGAATTAGAATCCTGGCTTGAAAATTTACTAGTTTTGTGCAAGTTGTTTTAAAGTTTTTTTAACAAGTTATTTTTGTGCAAGTTATTTTAACTTTCTGGGCTTCAATCTCATCATATATGAAATGAGGATAACTTTGCTTACCCCATAGGTTTGTGGTGAAGATTACATGTGTGAGTATATGAAAAGTACTTAGAAGATCATGTACTAAGTGCTTAATAAATATTAGCTGTTTATCATCATTAATGTGAAACTAAACAGAAAGGTAGAATAACATAAAAGCTAATAATGAGAGAGATGTGGGTTGAATAGCAGCATTACCAGGCAAGTTACTAAGCTCTTTTTAACTTCAGTTTCTCCATGTGAAAAATGGGGATAAAAACAGTACACAGGGAGTTGTGGGAACTGTATGAAAAAAATGTACAAAAGCTCTCAGCAGAGTACCAGGTACATAATTCTCATTAAATGAAAATGTTTGATAAATGGGAGCTGTGAGAGTGGTAAAGGTAGTGAATTTGATGATGGTTGTGATGGATATAATTTAACTTGCTCAGAATTATAAAGAAATGGAGGAAGAAAATAATTGAGAGCATACTATGTTTCAGCAGGGCACTAGGTACTTTGACATTGTTATCTCGTGGATAATCTAGCATCCACAGCAGATATTGCCCCCCAGTTTGCCTGGCTCTAGTTCATCTTGTAGTAGAAGAAAGGCAAAGAAAACACAGGAGATTATGTAGTCTTATTAGGTGTAGTTATTCTGAAAAAGGGATTCATACAAAGGTAAGACTTTTGTTATTGGGTTTTTTGTTTGTTTTGTTTTTTTAACTAAGCCAACTTAAGTATTGCAAATTCCCCAGCATGTTAGATTTAACAAGATATCTTTTTAACTTTTTGACTGAATAAGGTCTATTATTCCTAGTAAGAATACTTATCATAATTTTAATTGACGATCTGAAATTCTTTAGAACACTAACATGAACTATTTTAAAAAACAGTATAGAAAATCCAAATGGGTGATAGGCATAAAAATTAGGGGTCTTTCTTCAAAAACATCCACTGACACAGATGTCTATCTTTAGGACAGAAGATAAATGAATAAACATAATAGAAAAGAGAAGGAACTGTAATGGCTTAATTGATATAATACACTTATGTAAAAGGTTAAATTTGGAACAATATTCTTTTATACACATGCTTAGTGCTGCACAGCAATTTAAATACAGTAGCAAATGAGAAAATGAGGGAAAATTATACATACCACCAGGCTATTTTTTTTTAAATGGCAAGTGTTATAATTAATACCCAACTTCCTTTATAACTCACAGTACCTTAGAGCTGCTATTAAAGTTATCTCTTGGGGCTGGAGCTGAAGTGTAGTAGTTTCACTGCATAATATTTAGAAAGCACAGTGACTAGAATGGTAGCAATAGGAATCATGGCAGGTGTGCCATTTTAAACAAAGGACTTATCTACAAGGGACTGAAAAATGAATGGGCCTGGTATGGAAAAGATCTTCCATTCCAAAATAGTAGTGTCCAAAACATCAAGAAAAAGAGTGTTGATGGACCAAGACCCTAAGTTTCTTTTTCTGGCTGTGATAACACATTTCTTTTCTTTTTAAAAAGTCTCTAGAGCCTATTCCATTCTCTTTCTTATTCTTTGGTTTTACTCAAGGACTGGTGCTACTTGCTCTTGATTCTCTTAAAGGGATATTACAGTAAGTGAAGAGAGATCAGTGAAATATTGAGTCCTTCGGAAGATGCAATTCACAGGTATTTTTATTATTTTTTTAAAATTATATTTGTTATTGAATACTTAGAAGGCACTGTGGGCTTGCCCCTCTTGAAATTTCCCTGGATTTATTTAGATAATGGGATTTCTATACTCATCTCATGCTTCCCGATATCCAACACAAGATTGACGGACTCTATTTGATTTAATTACTATAAGGTGCTTAATAAAGAGAACATTCTTTGGCTTGAATGTTTGTTAATTTCCAGATGTGTCCTCTGATTCAGGAAGATTTGTTTAGAAAACACAACAGCCTGATGGCCTGTTTCTAGTTCTCCTGGTTTTAGGTTTTTGAAACTTCTTAGAACTGCCTCATGCCAATAGTACCTTTTAAAAAACGTGGATGAACAAACTTTGTCTTTTTACTTAATATCAACCAGGTTCATTGTTAAAATTGAGAGAAAGAAGATATAGGAAAAAAATCTATGAAAAAGACAGTTCTCTGAGAACTTGTTAGTGGTAAACATCAAAGCACATATAACACTTACATGCATTGGCTTCCCAGTAGGTTACATTTATATTAATATAGTGATCACTTAAAGTGTTTTATTCTTTTGTCAAGCCTTCTTATGCACTTCAAATGCATTCTAACTGGGGGAAAACAATCCCCTTGCTTACTGATAGCATTTGACACACATTCCTTAACATAAGTGACTATGAGCTACTGCACTTGCTTAATAAAAATTCGCAGAACAGTGGCAGATTTGGTGAGTTAATGGGCCCCATATGCTCTTTCTATGCTGACAGAAGACGGTATATTGCTAACACTCACGGATCTCTTCAGATAAAAATTGCCATTAGCTACAGTTATTTTTTTTGAGAATGCCAACACTATGTCAAGAATGGGAAATACGCAAATGTGTTCAGATTCCCACTTCTTCATATTGAGATACTTTGATGCAAAGTAGCACTCTAAAATATGATGCGATGCTTGTCTTTTACATAGTCAACTCTATTTCATTTAAGTTTTGATTTCCATA